TCAAAGTCATCACTCCAAACAGTGGCAACAGTGAGTGGATGCCAGCGCTGAACAGTTGGACACCACTTCTAAAGCTAGTATNTTCATATTAAATAAAGTTTTAACTGACTCATCATTTTGAATTTCTGCAAGTTCTTCTTGATATATTTGGTATATCAGACGAATCCACTAACATGGACTGCAACATCCATGTTGGAAAATAAATTTGTTTTAAATCAGAATATCTTTCTTTTAAATCAGCCGATCGAATTTTCAGATGATAGACAATAACAAGTATAGCGGTATCATTTTTGGAGCCAATGAAACTGTTCAAAGTTTTTGTTGTTAATATATTTGTTAATATATTTTTTGTTGTTTCTGACATAACTCAATGAGGGCAATGAAGCCAAATACCTTCGCTTTTACATCAACAAGAGTTTTATTTGTTCCTTGAAGTTTCTTATTTAATATATTCTGTTTTTCAAAGATATTGGCTAAATAACTCACAAATGCTTTACCATCGACTGTAAACAGATACTTCATTTCAGGTTTGTCGCTTAAAATATCCTTAAGTCACATAATATTTATTGATCGCAATAATTTAAGAATTTGCTTTCTTCTTTCGATTTCCTCACCGAAATTTCGCATTGCATTTAAATGGCCCAGAGCAAAATGGGTTTAAACTCATGCCGAGTCCATTTTTGATTTGCCCCCCTTCACAATCAAATTGCCCCCCGGTGGGGTGTGGGCCCCACGTTGGGAAACACTGCTATAGATGGTTTTAAAAATCTGTATATGTATTTATTTTGAAGTAGACGTTTCAAAATTATTACATAAAAAATGACGAAAATAAATCAGCCGAAGACAGAAAAAAGTTCATGATATACAACTTCCTGTCATTTTTTGGTTCACTATATCCACAAAAAATAACATTATACGTGTGTAGCAAGGCACGGCAGCGAACATTTCGTTCACTATATCCGGGAGTTCACTATAAATCGTGTTCACTATTGACTGTAGTTACATTCACCTTAATTTAAAAATTAAAAAAAAAGAAGAAAAAAAACTTCAACGCAACTTTATTAATTATTTTTATATTCGGTAGGTGGGATGAAGAGCAGCGAAGGAAATAGCCTGGAAAATGGATCCCGGGTGAAAAAATCACCTTAATAATATGGTATCAATGCAACGATTCGATTCGATTCAGGCTATTGCATTCAATTTTCATGTAACTTTCGGGTAAATATCTAACTATATTCAATAAATAATTATTTGAATGCAGTTAGATATTTAATAAAAAAAATTAATCAACATATAAGAATTTATTTAAAGTTCACGGTAAAGAACCTTCCCCGTTTCGTTCTAATTAACAATTCGCTTTGAGCAATTCAAAAATTGTTCTAACTTTCATTGATGATACAGATAGTCTTGTGATATAATAATATTCAAATAAAACTTTTTTCAACTAGTTATCATTTTATTTCAATGTATCAAATTGAAATACTGTATCATTCTTGTTAAGTTTTTAAAATGATCAAAAGTTTAACTCACCAAAGTCTACTGTTAATTAATAATTCATTTATAGCAAAAGTATCACACATTACATAGTTGTAATTACACTTAAAAATACGGGAAATATAAAAAGTTCCGTTTAGTCAACTTCAAAATTAAACTTAATGTCTTGATTATTTTTTTTTTCAAGAAAAAAAAGTATCGAATTATGATAAATAAATATTTAGTTACATTAAATTAGGGTTTAACGGCCCACATTTATTACTTATTAAGATCTTCCTTTTTTTTTCTATTTGATTCAAACAACTCAACCAGCATAGTGAAAATAAGAAAAAAATTGAGTTAATAAGTAATGATAAAAATATTTAAACGGCAATTTATCATAGCAAAAGTATCATACATTATATAGTTGTAATTACACTTAAAAATACTCGAAATATTAAAAGTTCCGTTTTGTCAACTTCAAAATCAAACTTAGTGTGTTGATTATATTCTTTTCAAAAAAAATATTTATCGAATTATGATAAATAATTATTTAATTACATTAAATTAGCGTTTAACGGCCCACATTTATTACTTATTAAGATCCTTTTTCTTCTATTTGATTCAAACAACTGAACCAGCATAGTAAAAAGAAGAAAAAAATTGAGTTCATAAGTAATGCTAAAAATATTTAATCGCTTGCACCAAAGCATGTTTTCATGTGAATGTCGTTTCGAACCACACAGAAGCTTCATTACATATTGCAATTTGTTGATGATCCCTCGCTCTAAGTAGGCCTCTTTTTATTTTTTTGTGAGAGTAATAACTGGGAGTGATAATTCCCCTCTTTTTCACTTAAACAAACACTCCAAGAGGACCACCTGAGCGCAAATCCTTTTCGTCGAATCGACTGCTGCCTGTGTCAGGGGCGCATAAAAGGTCTTCTAATTACCTTTCCCCCTTCCCCTCTCTTTCGAAAAAAAAAATCATTTATAAAAATCTGAAGGGGGGAAAAAAGCAATTTATAGATGCCCTACGAAAGTTTATTTAAATTTTCTGTTTCTGTGGTTTGGTATAATTCATTTAAAAGGAGTCTTATAAAAAAGGGGATAATCATTGGTAAAGACCGTCCTATAAAGAAGGAAAAAAAAAAAAAAACAGCAACAAAAATAAAAGTGGACATAGTATAAACGGGGTAAAAAAACTCTTTTTTTTTCTCTTTAAATGATTTGTTCTGGGTGCAGAGCTTAAAAGTATTAGGCCTTAATTCATTCAGATGAATCTAAATCAATATTTCCTGTAAACAACTATTTAAAGTTGTTACATTAGTAAGTATTACTGTTAGTGAAGCATGATTATTTATGTCATTCATGATAATTTTAAAACACCGGCTGTTAAACATAGTTATTTGTTTATTTATTTTACCTAATCAAGTTAATAATGATGCATCATGTATTTCAAAAGATCTAAACAAATACAATTCAACCCTAGTTTTGAAATTTAATTTTTAATGTTGTTTTTTATTTTTTTATTCTCAGTGCGGCTGTTTTTCCCTCATCATTAAGAATAAATCGTAATGAATAATCGTATCAAAAAGATCTCACAGCGAATTTCCAGAACCGAAGCGAGGTTTATCACAAACAACATAACAATTTGATGCGTCTGCAGGATACTTGTCTTTGATTTTTCGTTTTTTTTTCTTCTTTTTTTTCACTTTTTTAAAGTATAAATTAGAAAACTTTTCAGGTTTTATTTCTGCAAATTCAATACACATTTTACAGTAATAAAAATACAAGTTGAAGGCAATCTTTTCAAAATTTTGAAAAACTACAACAAAAAAAATAAATATATA